ATCTTTCTTGAATGGTATATATATATATATGTTGGTGTACATGTTATATATTCAGTGTGTGTAATAAAGAGTGTGTCATATACGGAGTTATATATAGATATAATAATGTGTGTGTTAATATCAAGAGAGAAATAAAATCACGTATAACAGGTAACGGAATTAAGCTTGAAGAAACGATAAACAAAGCAAGGCCTTAAAATACGCAGTGGCGTAGCGAAGGGAGGGGCAAATGGGCAATTGCCCATTTGATTTGTAGATTTGCCCATTGTAATTTTTATGAGTAAGTTTTTGCCCATCGAAATATTACTTTTTCAGAATGGTTTATTTATTTTTGAATTAAACAGTAATTCTATTGTTTTTCTTCCGACTGAATCACACATGCACTTTTTACTTGTTCTTTCTGTGAACAATTAAGAAAAGAAGAAGAAAAGAATCGCTTCTGGTTCTTTAATCAGAGTTGCCAGATGAAAAGCTCGAAAATCAGAAATTCTTGTTTTCAAAATCAGAAAAAAATCAGAATTTTTTCTTTGAAATCGAAAACTAATCAGAAAGAGTAACTTCTTGCAAACCAAGGCCTATCATATTGACATACTTGCGCAAAATGCTTTATTGTTTTTGTTTATCGATTCATACTGTATTTCCAAAAGTATTTCATAGTAAAGAAAGGCAACACAAACATTATATAGCTTAGAGTGAAAGATCGTGTACTGTGAGCTAAGGAAATTGATCATAGTCGGATCAAATGAATGCTCTCACTGTCAAATCAACTGATTAAAAATATGAGCTGCCAATAGTGTACACAGACCGAGATATTCGAGTTTCAAGAAATTTACAGACTGTTATGTGTCTACGCTACGAAATTTCAACATCACTTAATTTTCTTTTTTCGTCATGGTTAGATGTAGCATGACCATTTACATAACAAAAAGCAATATCACGCATATTAAAAAAGCAAATTCTATGCAGTCTAGGACTCATTTTTTTTAATTGTAAGGGTAATAAACAAAAAATCCTAATTGCTGTCAAATTACTTTTGAATATGGGTGATATTATTGCACCTTATGTAAATAGTCATCTTTCGGCCAACCATGTCGAAAAAAAGCAAACTAAGTGTTGATGAAATTTCGTAGTGCGAGCACATGAAAAACTGTAAATATCTTAAAATGTAAACATCTCGGTCTGTGTACGCTATTGGCAGCTCGTGTTTTAAACTGATTGGTCTGTCAGTGAGAGCATTAATTTGATTCGACTATAACCAATCTCCTTAGCTCGCAGTTACATGGCCTTCTATTGTTAGTTGATGCAAAAAAAACCTGACACCTAGTGTCGTATTCTTTTACGAAGCCCAAAACTCTGTTTACAAAAAATATGCGCAAACAAATCATATATGTAAACTATGCAGATCAAAAAATCTTACAAAAAATAATAAAGGTTATAAAACATAAATTTCATATTATTTTTGAAGTTTTACTTTGTTCAAAATCCCTTCAATAAATTTTTGTGAGCTAAAATATGTTTATAAAATCGTTCAAAAAAATAATTAGTATTAATTCTTAAGTTCAGCAACGCAAAAGTTTACTGATATATTAAAGTATTTGTCAGTGGCTGCAGAACTCAGAAACTACAAAAGATTAAGAAAGGTAAGAAGGTAGAACAATACGGATTTATAATATTAATGAGTTATAGTCGTAATTTATTTCGCTAGTAAAGTCACTATATAAAAACGTTTAGAACTCGAGAAAAATCAGAAAATCAGAAGAAAACCGGGAAAATATTCTAATTTCAGAACATTTCCTCACTTTTCAGAAGATCTAGCAAACCTGATTTTAACTGTAAATTTGGGTGAACATGAGTTCGGTTTTATTGGGAAAACACTAACCACGTAACGATAGACAAGAATAGGTCGAAGAGACAAGAAACAAGAGCACAGACTAAGAGAACACAAACGAATATAGGTATGTATAGATATATATATACATATAGGGTGGCGCATAGAAGAGAAAGGAAAAAACCAAGATGTGAAATGACGTAGTTCATAGGGAAAATGTCCATGTGTTTTGGTCAGATACATATTGAAAGCATCCTCAACATTAACGTATGCATGTTTTTTTACGTTATTAGTACTTTGTTAAGCCAAAAAAGTTTTGGCCTATCAATAAAAACCGTGCCCATTTCGCCCATCGGTTTTTTTCGACACAAGAAAAGTTTGCCCGTTGGCCTAAAAATCCTTGCTACGCCGCTGAAAATACGTGATCCAACAACGCGGTCACCCGTCTTTCTGCATCGTATCCTTTGCTTATTCTCAATTTTCCGTTACAATCATTAATTGAAAATACACCAACGAAAATATAATCTCTCCTCTCTCAACCATTTAATCATCGACATTTCTCGTTCCTTAATATCATTCATTCGTATTTAATTAAGCAAACCGATGCTGTATCATTTCGAAATTTATCTTATTCATTGATTTATATTTTATTTCAGAAACTTGTTGAATCGGACCGAAAATTTTCTTTTCTCATCTTATTCCAATAATCAATAAATCCAATCATGGTAAGTTTGGTTAAATAAAACTGAAAAAAAAAATCTTCGAAATTCTTCTTCATAGGTTAATTTTACTGTCGATCAAATTCGTAGTTTGATGGATCAAAAGAAGAATATTCGAAATATATCAATCATTGGTCATGTCGATCATGGAAAATCAACATTAACTGATTCACTTGTTTGTAAAGTTGCTATTATTACTCAACAAAAACCAGATAAAATGCCTTTTACAAACACATGAAAAGGTGAACAAGAACGATGTATGACAATTAAATCAATGTAAAATTTTATTTTAAATTTAAATTGAAAATAATCTCTCTTATTTTGTAGAGCTATTTTACTTTATTACCAATTACCTGATAAAGATTTATCGTTTCCTAAACAAGAACGTGAATCTGATGTATCTCATTTTTTAATCAATCTTATTGATTCCGCAGGTCATGTGAATTTTTCATCAAAAGTTACCGCGCTTTACATGCTACCGATGGTGTTCTTGTCGTTGTTGATTGTGTTTCAGATATATTATGAATAGATAGAGGCGTATTGTAATGTATATCGTACCAACTGACTCAAAAAATGTAGAATTCTTTGTAAGAACTATAAATCAAGTAGAACTAACAATGACCTAAAAAGAAACTATGTTTTTTTTCTGAGTAAAGGTGTAGGTCTACAGACTGAAGCTGTCCTTCGTCAAACCATTGGTGAACATATTAAACCAATATTATTTATAAGTAAAATGGATCGTGCATTACTTCACTTAAAATTTCAACATATTGTTGAAAATGTAAATGTTATCATTGCAACTTATGGTGATGATAAGTGGACCAATGGGTAATTTACAAGTAAGAAGAATTAAAGTTTTTTAATCATGGCAAGTTCATAGGCCAACCAAATGCGTTTTATTTTAATATGCATACGGTGGTTCAACTTTGCCAATAGTAAAAAAAAGTTTCTCCTCATAAGCCAAGATGTATTCGATTTATATCGTCATACATAAGAGCATATGTTGGAACAAAGAATTATTTTTTTAAATAATTTTTTAATTTGAATCAATTTAGGTTGATCCAAGAAAAGACACAGTTGGTTTTGGTGCTGGTCTTCATGGTTGGGCATTGACATGAAGAGAATTTGCTAAAATGTATGCATCAAAATTTCAAATTGAAGTTGATAAATTAATGAATCGTTTATGGAATGAAAATTTCTTTTACATCAACAGAAAAAAATCGTCACAAATCGATGATGAAGATTATCTTCGTGGTTTTTGTCAATTTGTTCTTGATCCAGTATTTAAACTAGTTAAGGGTGTGGGTGGGTGTACAGTATGCGCTAGTGTGTGTGTGGGTATCATGATGTATTAAACCATACCCACATTCACCCTCTAGGTCAGAAGCGTGGAGAGAATATGAGTGGATGGTAATCTTATCCTCATTCATGTTGATGCGAAAATGAGCTCTACATTTATTCGCACATATATCTGATATATAAACTAGATTGAATATACTGTTATCGAAAAATTTTCCAGAAACGTGCAATATTTTCTTTGAGAAAATGGTCAGCGAATCCGTAGAATGAGCGCTATCTTGTAATCATTGGACTCACGTTAATTTCTTTTTCACGATGATCAGTTGATCGACATGTATATTTGAACTAACAATTTGTTCATAATAGAAAGAAGCAAGTTACTTTTAGTATGGATATGTTTCATCCGTTACAGATTTGAAACAGGACAACAAACGATGAGAAATCTTTTTTTTTCGTTCCAATGACTTATTGCAATAGATACCTTAAGAAATAACACATCTATCTGTCTGTTATTCAATTAGTTCTTGTATTTCAATGCCAAACTTTATGACATATATAATTTTCTACTCTCTTTTATTACTTCAAATATTTTACAATAATATGTTCATGCAAATGTATACTTGACATAAGGAACATCTTGAACTTCATTTCCTTCAAGGTCATCACAGAATATATCTAATATAAGAGATCGAACGTGTGGTGGTATTCTTCTTTTGCTCACCGTTTCATATATATGAGAAATCCTTAAAAATGAAAAGAGATTAATTTGTTTACTCGTTTGATGCATAAAATGTGCACTATAAATCATAAAAGATCCTTCTGAAATTATGTTTGGTACTAGTTTATGCTCACACTATATTCCACAATTCAAAGTTAAACAAAAACTAATCCTAAATCAGATTGATTTTCCTTTACCTTAAAGTATTCTATAAATTCTTCCAATGACATATCACCTTTCACTTCAAACCGATTTCATAAAGTGAATTCTTTATCTAAATCCTATAATTAAATGAGAAGAATTTATAGTTATTCAAAAGTGATTGTCTAATATTCTAAACCTTTTGACATTTTGGTGGTACCGGTTCAAAAAATGCAAACAATGGTAAAGCCAAATTAAAGCATGCATTTCGATATGATTCAATCTTCTTATGATCTTAAATTAATTTATAAACTTCAAGACAAACAAGACCTGTAACCATTGCTGTTGTTGTTACAATAGCTGGAATTATATTTCCAGCAATTCTTTTGATTTGACTTCGATCAGTTATTTGTATTTTATAGTTTTCAGCTCGTAAAAGAGTTGCTGCTACTATATAATCCATATGAAAATTCGTATCATCATCTGTTTTTAATTCATATGGTTGAATCTTAATGTCAACTATCTCATCAAGTTTAGGCAATCGACTAAGAAGTTGTTCAACTGATGAATTGTTTTCCTTTTGAACATTCATTCGTTGCTGATCATCAAATCTCCATTGGTTACTATCATTATCTGCTGTGGAAATATCTTTTGGTTTAAATTCAGGCACTTGTATTTTTGTTACTTCTTGTGCAATAAATTGACGATCACATGTTTGTGAGATATTATACATATGTGCAAATAAATTGGATGCAGCAATAATGAAATCCAAATGAAGTTTATTGTTAACATCAAATTTCAATATATGAGGACATCGTCTATATCCACTCCAAAAAAGTTCACCTCTATATGTCACATGATCACGTGGGAAATTATGAAGTAACTGAACAATTGCATTATGAAATTGTTGTTCGAAGAGATTTCGAGACTAAATGAACAAAACAAGATAAACATTCATTTTTATTGTAAACGATATAAACTTTCCCATTTAATACAATCGGTGAAATTTCTTGGACGATGTTCAACAAGAATGTGTTTAACATTTTCAACAATTTCATTTTTTTCATATTCAGAGGGCTTTTTAGCCGTTCGTTCAGCGAAACCTTTGGAATCACGCACAAATTCTTCAACTTGTTGAGCAGGAATTGTAAATAGATCAGAAAAAGTATAGAGTACCCATTGAATGATATGATTAATAGAAATTGGAAAATTTATTGCAGTACTCAGGTCTACTGTTGAATCGAATGGATCATTGGTAGATGAATATGATTCAGTAAGAAATGGTACAACAACTTGAACACTTGCTTTTGTACCAAATATACCACTATCTACCAATGGTTTTCGATAATAGACACAATGACGATCAACATATTGACCTTAAAACAAAAAGTTTCAAGTTTTCAAAAAAAAAATTCGGAAAAAAACTAGAATCAATATCACTTGTCATTCATATATCATGAATTTTATAGAAGTGAAAGAATTCTGGATAAAGATAAAGAGATGATAAGAAAGTAGCTGATGAAACTCAACCTTCCGAGAAGAGATGTTCTCGAATTATGCTACATTGACAAGCGGACATCTGAAAGTAATAAGAAATAACTTTTCCATTTTCAGTGATGTGCAAAAGAATCAGATAAATCTCTTTTAAACGTATTTCTCTCTTACCCATCGTTAATTAGCTTTTTAAATATTTATATAGAATGGGTCATAAATAACTTTACGATAAAAAATTTGCATATATCCACTCTGTTTAAATCAAATAGACTGATTTGTCAATCTGTGGTAGAAGGAAGTTCAAAGTTTTTATTGATAAGAAACAGGCTAATATCGATTTGAAGTATCATCTTTGGGTTCAGCACAGATTTTTTTAGTCTTTTACTGATTCTTGAAAATTACAATATGCAAGATGTTCTACTGTATAAATCTATCTTAAGTCGAACAGATCATTAAGAATATTTAAACTTGATCAAGTCTCTTCGAAAACCTTATTCATACTTAAAAATGTGTCTTGAACTGTACTCCTTTAAGTTGCATATCACACACCTCTTTATCAGACAACGTCATAAATGACAAGAATTTTAATCTATATCAGTAATTCGAATGTTATCAAAATACTTACGAGTTTTGACGTTGCCAACTGCAGTGACAAGACCATCCAATTGTTGAAAAAAATGATCATTATATGTGTTCTGTTTCTGATAAAGCCCCATCGACATATGCATGAACATGCATATTGAGATTGATTACTTTTATTGATTGAGCTGCTACTGTTGATTTCATTTTCTGAAAAGGCCAATAAAAATTCTCACTCCAGGTATTATTTCCGGGCAGATAAAGAAAAAACTTACACCAATATCCCGAGAACGGAATAGAAATTGTCGATGTAAATCTGATATCTTGATGGAATCTATATCGGATACAAATACTGTACCATCTCTTTCGCATCCAATACCCATCATAGCAAAATTTTTCAATATTTCACAACCAATTGCACCTGAACCAATCTATAATTAATTCGCTTATTTTAACAGGTTTTTTTTTGCTCATCATTCTTTCTTCTTCTCTTACCAGAAAGTATTTAGCATTGCCTAGTTTATCTTGAAAATCTTCACCAAAAACAACTTCTTAAGAATAATATCGACTTTGTTTTGATGAAAAATTTGATCTTGTGTTTGATTCACTTGTTGTTTCATTTGATGGATGAAAGACATTTTCAGGTAAGCATTCAATAGCATCAAAATATAAAAATTGTCGAATTGGCATAAACTTTCCTGTCACTGCCTGACAAAAACAAAACAAAACAAAGCATGAATGAATGAATGAAATTCTTCTTACTTTGATTGCTTCTTGAGTAGCAATACCACCCATAACAGATTGAATTGGACATAAATCACCAGTACATGTTTTAGCAAACAGTCTTATCCAATGTTTATTTAGTTGATCTGTTAATACTTGTTCACGATTTTCTCTATTCAATTTTTCAACTATTTCATAGAATTTATATGCATCATCCTAAATAAGAAACAAATAAATGACAAAATAAAAGAATAAATGAATATGATATACATCATTCCATGGTTGAGACAATGCATTATATTGGTTTTGAAAAAGTGATAAACCTTGAAAGGATAAATGAAGATTAGCAGACATTGATATCTTTGAAAAATCATAAATTAACATTTCTGGATTTTTCAATGAATCAGAAAATGATTTCTAAATTGAAGAAAATAATTCAAAATCCAATGATCAACGAAGAAGAAAGAATAGCCTTATGAAATGCACAGTTTCCATTTTTTTGACTTCAGTAACTGTTCCACCACCTTCATAGACACCAAAATTTCTTGTATCACCAATCAGAAATGTATATTGAGCTAAACACAATCTTTTCCTATCTAGACAAAATAACTAATGAAAAAAAAAGAACACAAACCTAGTACAGTGATTTTGAATTCACGATCATTAATTTCAGTCATTCCTTTCACACCATGAAAAGTAACGTATGACCCATCTTCGAAACCATCTTTTGTATATGTCACTATTGATACAACACCAATTTCATCCTGAACAACAAACCTAAATAAACAAACTTTCTCCATCATTCGAAAACAATTCATACATGACTGATTGAATTGACTATTTCTTCTGTTATTGCATCTTCACCATTTGTATCGAGTACTTTGAAGTTTTGACCAAAATCACAAAATATTTGTCTATTTAAAATAAAGATATACCTTACAAATACAATTCATTTATTTATTTTACCCAAATAAACCTTTTGTATTAACATTAACAAATTCTATTCCATGTTCATGACAATAATCACCTATTTTCACTTGATTATCAATATCACCATCAGTAAGAACAAATACCTATACATTCATTCAACAAAAAAAAAACATATTTGATTTTTTCGACAATTGAAAATAACATACATTCACTTTATGCTTTTGAAGAAAATCTTCATCAATATTGCATGAAGAATATGTCACATTAACATTAGTATTCAGTTCAGATAATTTTTCTCTAGTAACTTCAGTACGATTTTGACCAATATCAGAGTCAGAAAAATAATACTATTGTAGAAATACGAAAAAAACAACAAGTATCAAACTAATTAATTATACTAGTGATGATAAATCTTTGTAGTCAACATTGTTACAATCATGAACAATAACTGATTTAACACCACACAGTATCAGATTTTTTAGCAATTTCAACACCAAGACCACGCATGCCTGATATAAGAATATCATCATTACGTAATTCGTACATTGCTTCTTTTTCCATCACATAACTAATAGAAGAATAAACAATATTTATTTCTTATTTTTCATATGTAAAAAATAGTTTATATACAGTTGTCGTGAATAAAGATGTTCATCGATTTCAGGAGTTGTTGTCGACGTCTGATATTCCAGATCGGTAGCCATTTGATCTGATCTTTCAGTTTGTTGTATGACTCGTGAATTATTATTCCCACTCTTCTAAAATATAATTATAATCAACTACTTACTCTTCTTTTTTTTGAAATAGAAAACTAAAAAACAAGAAGATTGAGAAAAGGAGTATGAAAATGTTTAAATAAATGTTCTTTCGATAACTTTTATTATTTTTTTTGTCGTCGTTCTTTTTCATCTCTTTCTTTTATTCATACAAAGTCAAAGAGAAAAACACTTTCTAACACACTACCTTCATAAGACCGCCACACCACAAAGAAACAAAATCTATACGACAGAAAAATTCTTCATCGATACCTTCAGTCATAAGCAGAAGTCTTAAAGACTTAGAGAGAAATTGATTATTTTACTTTTTCATATTAAGAGAAGTTTCTGGCAGAAATTCTTCAACCATTTCTTCGCTTCTAAGTAGAAGTCAAAAGGACTTAAAGAGAAATGGATGCAGTGATCTTTTTGTCGGAGATTTTATTGTACGAAAATGACGGTCCTATTTTAGATTATGTGCTCTTTCCGTATCATTGATGTCATTGAGATTTTGCTTGTGTGTAGCGCCAAGTTTATTTATACATAAGCATAATATACTGTCGACGTTTCGATATATCTGATATCATTGTCAAGACAGGTGGAATTAGATTTGAGAGAAAAGAAGGGTGTGACTGAAAGAACAACACCCACACCCTCTATGACTTTTCGTCCAAAAGTTATAAGCTTGTTTCCATCTGCCTTCTTTTAAAATTCCGATACTAATTAACGTAATTGTGATTCTAAACATGTCTGATGATTTCTAGCAAGGATCAAAACATGTCCTATGACTGCTTGAATTATCTCTCCTCCGTAAACTCATCCTCGCCCTCATCGTCAGCCATTTTCCAGCATTTCTGGATCAACATCAGTGGCCTTCAAATAGTTCAGATTTAAATCCTCTGAACTATTGTATTTGGGATGAACTTGCTGGGAATATTAACTGGGACCAAATAACATGGAAAAAAGTTTAATTGAAAAACTAAAACGGGCTACGAAAAAATAAGGCTCGAAATTGTTTTTCAAAATTGTAATTCTTGGACTAGCCGTTTGTTGATAGTTTTTAAGAATGATAGAAATTATTTACATTAGTAAATAAAGATCACTTTTGTAGAAAATTGAATTCTGCATTTTCAAAAAAAATTAGGTTGCTGTGATGGTTTTTGACTGAGATATTGAAGAAACACATAGAAGGACATTTATTCTGGCATACCCGTTATAATTAAAATGACATTTTACACATTCAAAAAAAAAACACAAAATTAATTTAAATCATAAATATTGCAGCTGGCAAATTCCAGTTTCTTAGAAATAGAATACAGATTCAGGTAATTCCATTCTTTTTGCTATTTCATTTAGTCTTTTTCGATCTAACTTGCTAAGTTCAAGGCTTTTAACTTGTGCCATTTTATCTCTGCTTAGAAGAGTTCCAGCTTGAGAATCTCTATTCAATGCAGTCAGTGCTTCTGGAATTAGTGATTTTGAAATGCCACAAACATCAAAAACTACACCAATAGTTTCTTCTGGTTTTGATATTAAGTTTTCATATGTTACTTCTGGAAGAGCATAACAATGCCTATCTTTCAGAAAACAGGCATAAGGAGCTGCGAAAATAATAAAAGCCAATTCCAATAAACTTTCTGGTTTAACTTTTTCAACAGTACTTTTCTCTAGTTCATATCCAAAAAGCCATTTTCCTAATTTAGGAAAGTTTGATTGTAAGTAGACAGTTTCTTTCCAAAGGAATGACTCCTGCATCACTTTGTATAAAGAAATCGTAGCCTTTTCCACATTTTCACGAAACTGAAATATGTGTGGAATTTCAGGAAAAAGTTTGTGCATGTGACCAACCAATGGTGCAACAGTCGAGTCCATTTTTATTATGTAAATCTGATCTTTTGTCATATCTTTGCAATATGTATAAAGAAGTGATCGAAGTACGGTATGGAAGAAGTCCAGAGGCCATATGTTTTCGTCATACATCATTACTAGATTTGCAAAAGGATAAGGTTCCGCAATGGTTTGAACTTGCTGGCCAACCTGAACCATTTGAGTTATCAGTGTAGAACCACTTCTCGGACAATTGTTAAACACAATTACTTTTCCTTTCATAGGTCCCAGTGAGTGGCATGCAAAAGCGCAAAAATCTCTAAATATAATAAATCGCAATGGATGCAAATTTCAAGATACTTATTTAAATTTAGCATAAACTTACTTTATTGGCATTCGAGCTAATTTGAGAGCGTCAGTAAACTGTTTCACGGCAAGAAACGGTGCACTTTTCACATTATATTCTGTAATTGGTTTTGGTAAGAGTGTAAAATAGGCATATCGATCAGAAATCGTGTAAAGTACCCAATTTGGGTTATATTTCAGGAGCTTTTCAGCATCATAAAATTTTTCATGCAGCCACATAAAATTGCATTCTCTGCCCACATCGCCTTCGGCTGACTTTAGACGATACAAAATGGTCAAAATTTCACATTGAATGGTAGTATTATTTTTGGGAGAATGAAACCAATATGACTGAAGATTCGTAATTACATCTCTAATAACACGGTAGATTATATAAAAGATTAGCTTTAATACATTCATAGTGCAGCTCGAACGAGAAAAGGTCATACACGATACGCGCTTGATTGTGATTGTGGTGACGATTGTGACTAGCTCTAAAAGAAGAAGCAATGCATGCTAAAACTCTCAACTGCACTCTGTTAACAATAGATAACACAACAAACTCATGTACGAGCAATAATGATAAATATAAGAGACTGGTTGCTGTTATCATATTTTTAAGGTGCGAAGTATCTTCTAGTAGTCGGTCGCGAGTTTTTTTTTCTCGACGTTACACAGAGTGTGGGTGTGGGTGAATGAAGAAGATAAAGATACACCCACAACCACACCCAACATGACGAAACAACCAATAACTAACTATAAAATCATAGTCAAAAATACATTAAAAGACATTCTTGATGATCTAAGATATAATCGATCGATTATAACAGACTTCTTTTTTTAACATTTATTTGTTTATTGTCCCTATATACTGAGGTTGACAATGTATGATAAAAATAAAATAAACGAAATAAGAACGATATAGAAATGGTAACGAGAAGAAGTAGAAAGGAAAGAAAGGATAAAGAAAAGTAAGAGATCATATTATCATATGTTATTTAGTGACATATTATGTTATATAGAGAAGTCAATAGAACCGTAAAAGAGGATAGAGAAAATACAGTCAGTTGATAATGATGTCAAGAAAAAAAGATTATCGAGCAGTATATATTTTTAGATATTTGAAACATATAACATCTTATTATGGTCAAGTCAACGTACATGTTTAGGGTGTTGTTAAAAGGTATTTATGTATGAAGAAATAAGTTGGAAAAGAAGCATGTTTATAGTATCCATATT